GGAGAGGGACAGCAGCCCCAGGAGAGGGACAGCAGCCCCGGAGAGGGACAGCAGCCCCAGGAGAGGGACAGCAGCCCCGGAGAGGGACAGCAGCCCCAGGAGAGGGACAGCAGCCCAGGAGAGGGACAGCAGCCCCAGAGAGGGACAGCAGCCCCAGGAGAGGGACAGCAGCCCAGGAGAGGGACAGCAGCCCCAGGAGAGGGACAGCAGCCCCAGAGAGGGACAGCAGCCCCAGAGAGGGACAGCAGCCCAGGAGAGGGACAGCAGCCCCACAAGAGGGACAGCAGCCCAGGAGAGGGACAGCAGCCCCAGGAGAGGGACAGCAGCCCCAGGAGAGGGACAGCAGCCCAGGAGAGGGACAGCAGCCCCACAGGAGGGACAGCAGCCCCAGAGAGGGACAGCAGCCCCGGAGAGGGACAGCAGCCCCAGGAGAGGGACAGCAGCCCCACAAGAGGGACAGCAGCCCAGGAGAGGGACAGCAGCCCCAGGAGAGGCTCACACACCTGCAGTCAGGCAGTAAAGAAAGTAACATTTGAAGCAGCTCTCACTTTGCTGCTGGCTTTTCACTGGATGTGAACTCAGTGCAGCTCGTTTGCAGGCAGCTGAGAATGTCCTCGTAGGTTTTACTGATAGAGGAGTTGTTTTAGAAGATAAACAAAAATTAATTCTGCCTTTTTTTTGCTTTTTAGACTGTGTCTATTCTAAACCTGTCTAAAACACATAACCTCCTATCTTGCAGAGTTTTTTTGGGGTTTAATTTTGGTTCACTTGTTGGTTGATAAGAATAAAAATGAAGTGATACAGATGGATTCTATTGTGACAGCAAAAGGAAGAAACACAAATACAATTAATTAAGAATACATTCAGTTTTAAGTTGAATAGTTTTGATTTCTTTATATTTGTTCAGAGTGTGTGTTTCACTCTGAAAATCTCTTCAGATTTGTTCAGAGTGTGTTTCACTCTGAAAATCTCTTCAGATTTGTTAGAGAGTGTGTTTCACTCTGAAAATCTCTTTGGATTTGTTCAGAGTGTGTTTCACTCTGAAAATCTCTTCAGATTTATTCAGTGTTTCACTCTGAAACTGGTGTTGAATGATTTTGTCTCTGTTTATTCAGAGTATTTCACTCTGAAAGTGCTGTTGGTCCATCCAGAAGGACAATGAAAGGTCCTGCAGATGTGAGTTGCAGGAATTGCAGGTTTTCCCTGCAGGAGTGGGGCTGAGCTGGGTGTGTGGCTGTTTTCCTGCAGGGGTCCCTGACAGATTTCCTCAAGGCCAACGTGGTGTCGTGGAACGAGCTGTGCCACATCGCCCAGACCATGGCCCGGGGCCTGGCCTACCTGCACGAGGACATCCCGGGGCTGAAGGACGGCCACAAGCCAGCCATCTCCCACAGGTACAGCCCTGGGAATGCAGGGACACCTGGCAGTCCTGCAGGCAGCCATCACCACCCTGTGGTCCTGCAGGAATTCCTGGATCTCCCCTCCAAGGCGCTATTTTCCCCCCTGTGTTATTTAAACAAAGTTGCAGTCACTGCACACTTGGATTGCAACGTTCTCATTCCATCTCTGCACCCACATGCATCATCCTTATCCATATCTCTGTGTATCCCTATATCCATCATGCAGCTGTATTTATCTTAAAAACAAGCACAACACTGCAGTTCCAATTACTGGCTCATTTATTCCCATGAAGGTCTGCAAGGGCACTCCAAGGTTTTATGATTATTATTTTGTTGTTTAACTTACCTGTTTATCATTTTCTTGCATTTCATACAATAATGTGTCTTGTTTTATGCTGTTCCTTTTTCCTTAGAGTTTTATCTGTATTTCGTGGTCCAGATCTCTAATTTGTGTTTTTTCCTTGAACTTGAAAGGGACATCAAAAGCAAGAATGTGCTGCTGAAAAACAACCTCACGGCTTGTATTGCTGATTTCGGTCTAGCTTTAAAGTTTGAGGCTGGAAAGTCTGCAGGAGACACCCATGGACAGGTAAATCCCGAGTTATTTCCAGGAATGATCCTGCTGTTATCTGGATGTCAATGGGAATTCCTCCTCAGGCTCTTTGCATGGCCAATCCCCCCCTTTTACCCTGACTGGACAATTTGGACAAGAACTTTAATTTTATAATATTTTATTAATTCTTTAATTACTATTCAGAAACTGAGGGATGAAACTTCCAAGATTCATTCCTAAGGCAGGAACAACCACGATTGCATTTAATCTGGGACAAAGCAGGGATTTAACGTGGCAGCAGGCGGGGCTGGTGCCCATGCTGGGGATGGTTCTGGGCACAACCCTGGGTGTTCTGGTGCCCTTGCAGGTGGGCACCCGCAGGTACATGGCTCCCGAGGTGCTGGAAGGTGCCATCAACTTCCAAAGGGACGCGTTCCTGAGGATAGACATGTACGCCATGGGCCTGGTGCTCTGGGAGTTGGCCTCGCGCTGCACGGCCGCCGACGGTGAGCGACCTTCCCCCGCCCAGCTGCACGCACTCCCTGCCTGCCGGGAGGTGCCCAGCTCACGGTGGCACTGGAGGGGCTGGAAATCCCTTCCAGCCCATCCCGCTCCGGGAGTCGGAGCTTGGCCAACACGGCAATCTTCCCTTCCCTCTTCCCCTCCCCGCTGAGCCGGTGTTCGCTCTGCAGGCCCCGTGGATGAGTACATGCTGCCCTTCGAGGAGGAGATCGGCCAGCACCCCTCCCTGGAGGACATGCAGGAAGTTGTGGTGCACAAAAAGAAGAGGCCTGTCCTAAGGGAGTGCTGGCAGAAACATTCTGTAAGTGCGACCCACCCGACTCTGAATGCTGCGTTCTGTCCGTGCCGTGTTGTGTCCATCACACTGGGAGAGGTTTAATAAACCTTTGGGAGAGGTTTAATAATTCCAGCAGGAGTTAAATGGGCTTAAACAGGCCTCATCTTAGACTGCTCTTTCTTCAGTATTAGAAAGCGAGGGATCTTTTCCATTTTTTGGTGGAAGAATGGATCCTGGAGGAACTTTGCAGTGAAGTCCCATTTGGTGGCCAAGGGATTCAGCTTTTTAAACCACGGGGAGGCTCCATCACTGCAGGGAAGGATTCCACAGGGAAGGATTTGCCCCCTGTTGTTATGGACCAGTTTTTGTTCAATAGTCAGAACAAAGCAGAGCCGAGGCCCCACGGGCCACTCCAGGTTCACACCAAACATCCTGTGGCACACAAAGGTTCCCATTTGCCAGGTGTCCCTTGAGATGCCCTCTGGGATGTGACGTTTCCCTGCTGCTTTCCCGCAGGGAATGGCGATGCTGTGCGAGACCATCGAGGAGTGCTGGGATCACGACGCCGAGGCGCGGCTGTCCGCGGGCTGCGTGGAGGAGAGGATCATCCAGATGCAGAAACTCACTAACATTATAACAACAGAGGACATCGTGACTGTGGTCACAATGGTGACAAACGTTGACTTTCCTCCCAAAGAATCCAGTCTATGATAGTTGCACTGGTCATGGAAGTGACCACAGGACTCTTCACTGGAGCTGCTACAGCGCACGGACTGCTGGCGTCACCGCTGTTCCGGGTGGCAAGAACGGATGGTAAGTCTCTCTGGAACATCACCAAGAGGTGTTTCTCCTTTGTTTTCCCCCTCCTCCTCCCCAACGTGGATCCATGAGACTTTCTGCATTCCCTGCTTACACCTGAAGGACGTGACTGAGAAAACCCCTCACGTGCTGATAAGGAACTTACAATGAAGAACCCGGACCTGAACGGGCTAATGAGCATTTTAAACACTGACATCAGATTTCTTAATCCCTGTCAGAAGACACTAATTCCTTTAAATGAACTACTGTTATTTTTTTTAAATCAAAAAACATTTCATTTCAGATTTAAAAACAACAAAAAAAAAAGGGTAACTTGTTTTTATTGCATTCGTTGTTGTTTATAAAATGACTATTGTAATGCGACTACGACACAGCTTGTGAATGTTCCGTGTGCTGCTGTTCCGTGTACAGAAACAAGAGTAATCAATGGGATAGAGCAAAGAGGCTTCCAAGTATTACTTAACCTCCCTCAACCAGGTATACCTCAGTTCCACCTCGCTAAATTATGATTGACAACACTAATTGGAATAATAAACCGCTCCGTGTTTTGTAAATGATGTATTCCCAATTCCCTGTGTTATTTAAGAAGGGGAAAGCTTCATGCCCCCAGGAAGTGGCCATTCCTAGAGCCGTGTTTTTAGCCTTTTCTTGTACTCGCTTGTTGTGTATAAAAAAAGAGAAAGTGCTGTTTATTGGAAGAAAATTTTCCTTCCTCTTTTAGTTGAAAGCTTTTCCCTCCATTTCCCAGAGTATCTCATCCATTTATTTAACTGAATACTATTTAGGTTTGCTGTGTCTGAGGAATATTTGAAACCTTAAGCATGACTTCTTTTTTTTTTATTTTAAATTTTCTCTGAGCTGTGACACTGGAAAGCTCCGAATTCTTGTTGTTTTTTTTGAAAAGAGTCTTTTTCCTATTTATGTTTGTGCCGAGGTCGCCGCGTGCTCCCTGTCCCGCCAGGCAGTGGGGGCTGTGTCACTGTTTCAGGATCACCTCAGGAAGCTCAGTTCCCCCAATTCCTCACCCTTTGCTTGGAGATTTGCAGCTTCCCTCCACTCAGAGCTCGGTGCCATGGGAGGGGAGCGCAGCTCACTGCCTGTGAGCCACAGGTTGAGCCTGGAGTCACACACAAAGTTCTAGCCACAGATTGCAGATCCTACATGTTACAAATTTCAGGGATAACCTAGTTCTGCTCACGATATGCAATGACCATTCCGAGGTAACGAAAGGAATTTCAACGGCCAGAGCGCAGACTCGCAGAAAACGAGGAAAAACATGGGAATTCACAACTCCAGCACTGGAGTTCAGGATGTCAAGCCTTGTGCTGGAATTACAGTGACTGGTAGCTGGGTGCCAAAGTGCTTCTCCCAAATCCTGTCACACTGCATTGATTGGATCCTTCACGCCAAATTCCAAGGAAAGTAAATGTTGTAACCCCCTGGAGCGCAGAGCCGGCAGCGGCCCGTGGTGTGCTGTGTCCTTGTCTCCGTGTGCCCACTCCCAGTGTCTCCTGAGAGCAGCAGGTGGCAGCTCCTGGAACCTGGAGCTGGGAACTTCATCCCTGGGAACAGTGGGATGCGATGGATGAAGCAGAGCCAGCTCTGGGCAGGGAGGGAGGAAGGGCTGATGCCAGCCAGGGCCGTGGCACTGCCGTGCCCACAGATCCTGCTCCAAGGGGCCGTTGGAGAAGGAATCCAGTTTGTGTCCCCTTGGCTGGACACTTCCCTGTGGCTTCCATTTGTGCTCCACTTTTAATTCAACTTCACACGGAGCAGGACAGGCCCGGAGTTCTGAACAAATCCCAACCCCATCCTTTCCACGGGCTCCTCGGACCCTTCCCTGGCAAAACCAGAGCCACGGGCTGTGCTGTTGGAAATCTGATGCAAAAACTGCAGCTGTATCCAAGTCCCTCCTTGCGTGTGACCCTTCCCAAGGAGCTGCTGCGGGCTCAGGGCTGTCCCTGCTCACTTCTGTTCCACTCCTGGGATTTCCCAGCATCATGTAGCATCCCTGAGGAAAGGCTGCTCCTTCCCAAAGCTTTTAAATGGGGCAGAATGGCCCCGAGCTGCTCTGCCCCAGGGCTTGGGAATGGACTCGTTTCCCTTCAGAGCAGCAAGGGCAGGATGCTGGCAGTGTTGGTTTGGGCTGTGCCCCTGTCCCCTCCTGCCTGGCCTCACCGGGTGTGACTGTCGAGGGTGACAAGTTCCTGTCCCACGTCCTCAGAGCTGCTGGCAGGGGCTGAAGCACGCTGCCCTTCCTGGGTATTCCCAAACCCCCCGAGCGCGGGATCACCCAGGAACTGCAGCGGTGCAGCTCCCAAACCTCACCTGCAACCAGTGCTGAGACTCATCCTGCTCCCATCAGCATCCACACAATCAGCCATCACCCCTCTCCTCTTTTCCAGCTTTTTTAACCTTTTTAGACATTTCTGTTGATCAGGAACACTTGGTACAAAACACAGGAAGCTGCAATACACATCCCTGGGCAAAAGGACTCCAGTAGCATCCTTGATGGAACATCTGTTACCTCAGATACTCAACCAGCAGGACTGCTTTGCTTTCTCCCTCCAGTTTGTTTTTTTCAGTCCATCTCCTCTTCGTTACCTCTCGAGTTTGGTGAGCGATTACTTTAACTTTCCTCTTTGTATTTGTCAGTGTTTTGGGCACAGGTTGTTGTACTACTGTTAAAAGGCACTTGCTGCTTTTCTGCAAGTGCCAAAAAACCAACCAACCCCCCCCTCGCCCTCAATAAAGTGATTGTTAAATATTGTACAAATACAAATGTATACTCTGCCCTCTTCCCCAGCGGGAAAATAAAAAATGTGACTACTCCGACTTGCAAATGCTTCCTCGAAAACTTTATTTTAAAGTAAACACATGGGGCTGGGCCTACAGCAGCTCTTGAGCCAAACTCTTGAGCTTTGCTCCAAAACATTGTGTATGGAAAGATGTTACCTTGTACTTGGCACAAAATAGCCCTTGTGGCTGAAGCCTGTTGGGTGAAATATCTAATGGAGTAAATTCAGTTGTGATTAAAGATTTAATTGGGTAAATTTGCTGTCAAGTCAGATTTGAGATGGAAAAGTGCAGTGTGGTTGTGACCTGATGGGGTTCTAGAAGGGAGACAGGAGGGCAGCATGGCCTGAGCCAGGATCCAGAGCCCTCAGCCACAGGGAGAAACTCCAGAGCTTGGATTTGTCCAGGTGGGAACTGAGTGTGAGAACAGGAGTTGGCACTGAGCTGAGCTAAAGCACCTGGGCGTGTGAGTGAGGCACAGTCCTGAAAGGGAACAGCAGCATCATTCTGCCCAGAAAACCCCAAACGGATCAGCACAGAAAGTACCTTCCTGGGGTAAACATTCCCTGTGGTGGAGCTCGCAGCATTCCAACAGGGATGGAGCTCAGAGCCAGCTGAGGGAGGAGGCTGCCCACTGCTTGACATCGGTGGGGCAGTTGGGGTACACCTGCAGGGCCTCCATGATCTGGCTGCTGTCCAGCAGCAGCTTCATCAGCAGATACTCGCGCTGCGCCCGCACCGACGGCCGCTCCAGCGGCTTCACCAGCTCCAGCTGCAGCAGGTGCTCAAAGGCCTGGGGAGGCAAAGGGGCAGTGCAAGGGAACATTCCTCCCCAAACACCCACTCCCTTCTAGGGCTGAGTCTGACCACCCCGGACTGTGCTCTGGAACTAAAACCAAAGTATTTTACAACTCAAAAAGAAAAAGCGTTTCAGGCTCACCTTCATGACAACTGGCTTCTCAAAGTTGTACATCGAATGTGCCTTCCTCTGGATGAACTTCTGGAATTCTGCAGCAGTAAGAGAAGAAAAGGGCACTTAGAAGGAAGGCCGTGGTGTGGGGTTTGTGAAGCTCAGGCATTGCTCTCACCATTGTAAACCATCTGGAAGTTGAATGGTTCTCCATCGTAGACCTCATTCAGGTGTTTCATGGCTATGATGAGGCAGATTTCCAGCACAGACAAACCTGCAGGGAAAGACAAGAATCCCGGGTGTTTCCTTTGCACACATCACAAACACAGGCACTTCACTGTTTATTCCTCTGTCTTTACATGCTCTGTGCCTCACGCATTGGTGTTCTGTATCTTTATTATGTAAAGAAATCCCAGAATCTGAAGTCTTGCAGAATTCACAGCATCACCGGGCTGGAAGAGACCTTCAGGGTCATCGAGTTCAGTCCCAACACCTCACCCAGACCCTGGCACCCGGTGCCACATCCAGGCTTTGTTAAACACATCCAGGGATGGGGACTCCACCACCTCCCCGGGCAGCCACTCCAGAACTTTATCACTCTTTCCATGAAAAACTTTTTCCTGATATCCAGCCTCTATTTCCCTTGGTGCAGCTTGAGAACATCTGTTTGCTGTGCATTTGAAGCAGAAATGTTCAGGATTGGGCTGTTCCCACCAAAAAGAACTGGAAGTATCCAAGTTGGCACTGTCGGACCCACGGGCAGGTGTGACTCAGAGCAGGCTCCATGGGCAATGCCACAGGGAGCACTCCCTGCACATCATCTCTTCCACCTGGACAATTCCAGGGAGGGACTTGACACCTCCCCTGCTTCCAGAAGAGTCGTGGGAAGGAGCTGGGCTTTACCATGGACAATGTTGGCCTTGGAGTCGGTGCTGTGCTGCCTGCTGGCCTCCTGCAGGTCTGCAGCCGTGAGCAGGGGGTGGTGCACGGTCACTGCGCTGCCAGCCAGCATCTGCAACACACACACAGCTCACCCCACTCCTCTGGAATGGACACGGCTCCCTGAGGAGCCCTGCAACAGCCATGGACAAACCCCCCACACAGCAGCTTCACACGGAAAACCTTGCAAAGAGCTGGCACTTCAATGTCATCCTGCCAGGAAGGTTTTCCAGGCTTAAAACCTTAAAGCCTCCTGATTCCAGGAGATGAATCCTCATGAACCTGTTTGTATCCCTGGCAATGGATCAGCACCTCGGAGGCTGCTGCAGGAATGACTTAGAGCTGTTCTGCACCTGCTCTTGTACCCAGGGACACCTTCCACTGTCCCAGGCCCCGTCCAACCTGCCCTTGGGCACTGCCAAGCGATCCAGGACAGCCACAGCTGCTCTGGGCACCCTGTGCCAGCCCCTTCCCACCCTCCCAGCCAGGAATTCCCAATTCCCAACATCCCATCCATCCCTGCCCCCTGGCAGTGGGAGCCGTTCCCTGTGTCCTGTCCCTCCATCCCTTGTCCCAGTCCCTCTCCAGCTCTCCTAGAGCCCCTTCAGGCCTTGCAAGGACTCTAAGATCTCCCCAGAATCTTCTCTTCTCCTCACTTTGTCCAGGAGCTCCTCACTCATCCCTCCAAATCTGTTTTATGTGCTTTTATTGGGAAGTTGACTTCAGAACAAAAGGTCTCTTTGGAAAGGAAGAACTCGGCACATGCTGCAGAGAACAATGGGAAAGCTGAGCCACAGCTCTTTCCTGCTCTCAGGGAGGCTCTTGGCTGCCATCAGCTCCTTTGCTGGCCTCCAGTACAGCCACAGGGACAGACTTGGGAATTCCCTGCTCTAGGAATAATCTGCAATCCTGTAACCACCTCCAGTGCCCAGAGCACCACCAAGGAGGGCTCTGCTCTGGCGCTCAGGGTGGCTCTGAGCACTGCAGGAGGAGCTGGGAGCACTGCAGCCAGCCCAGCCCAGCCCAGAGCAGGTCACACATCTGGGTTGGCACAACAGCCCAGGGCAGGGACAGCCGGGGGGCTTTTCACACTGACACAAGCACAGCGATAGTTTAGGATAGTTAAATAACTGTTATTTATCCTCTGTAAAAGTGTCAGTGCATCTATATGAGCTGTGTTCAAAAGCAGAATTAGGGAGGCAGCTTAAATTTAAAAAAGAGCCTCCAAGAGAGCTGCAGCTCCTGTGTGGCGATGGAAGTTCAAGCAGAAAAAACAGGTTTCAGTATGGGGTGTCAGGATTCACCAGGAACCAAAATGAATCTCAGAAAGGAAAAAGTAGTTTCGAAGGGTTTCACCTCCAGTTTTGATTTAGAAATGGAAAAGCTTGGAGAAAGTGGAATAGCAAAAGCTCAGCCCCATCTGAATTGAACAGCCCATGCTCACAGGTAACTGCTGCAGAACTGGAGTTACCCCACTCACTGACACAGCACAGGCTGACCCAGCCTGCAAGGAGCCAGCACTGGCTGAAGTTTAATAAAATTCTGTTCAGGCAAAGCTCAGCTAAATGGGCTCAAAACCACGAGAGCTGCTCATGAGTTACTGCAAGGAGGTGCTTCACAGATACCCAAATACACACCAGGAGCAGATGCAGCGAGCGCAGGTCTTTGGTGTGGTGGAAGAGGTTCTGCAGCACATTCTGCACGGTTTTATCCTCCGAGAGATGCTGCAAGACACAAGAAAGTGATATTTTAACCATCTCATACTCACTTTTAATCATTTCATACTCACCTGGAAAAATAACAGGTAAATATATTTTTTAAGAGCTCGGCTTACACCTGACAATACAATTTTCATGTCCAACCTCAACTTACTGGTATTTCCTGTGACAATTTTACCTCCAGACTTCAATGAGCAAAGATTCTCTATAATAATTTAATTTATTCCATATCACACTCAGCCAGTGAAAGGAAATGCCAATCTTAGGAAAAAGCTTTACACTTTTACTGGTAAAAGATATGTGTATACAGTAAACCAGCTTTACACTGCTCTCACTTTAGAATTTTTACTAGAATCAAGTATAAAATGCTTTAAATACCTGAACATTATTATTCCATTTTTGTGCAAAAGATTCATCAGGAAATTCATCAGGAAGAGAAAGCTGTTTCTTAAATATCTTAATGTATTGTTTAAAATCAAAGGAATTCATCAAATATATCTGTCTGTGGGAGAACCTTGACTTTACTCTCTTCTCCAGGAGCTCCAGGATATCCTTGATGGGAAAAAAAAAAAAAAAAAAGGAAAAACAGTAATTAAAAAAGCAGATGAATTTGGTGTTTTCTTTGCTACAGCACAGACAAATCACTGAAGTGAGCTGAAAAAAGAAAGAATTATTGCATTCTCAGGCTTAAAATGTTGCAGCATAAGTTAAATGTTGTAACAAGCCCTTTGCTGATGATTTTAATTGATGTGCCTTGCAATGGCACCAAGCATCCCAGCCCACGTGGTGCTCCACGTCACACAGGATCATTTGTTGCTAGGAAACCCAGCAAAATGTCTCCATAGATTATGGAAATATTTCAGCTACTTAAGGCTGAATCAAACCTTGCAGCCTGGCAGGGCTCTGGACAAGCAGCTGACAGGACACGTGCTTTCTGTCAGCCTGAGAGAATACAGCTTAAAAATCCCCAAAAATACTTAAAAGCCAAAAAAAAAACCCTCAGAAACAATGGCCAAAACAAAACCCCTCACTTTGGAGACACATCCTGAATTACATTCCAAAAAGCTTCTAAATAATGGGTGAGAAGCACACCAGACTCAGGACAGTGATGACGCAAAAGAAAAGATTGTAATTTATTAAATCAACAATTAACTTTTCTATTAACTTCCAGAAATTTTCCCAGCTAATCCCAGTCAAACCCAGAATCAGGCTTTGATAAGAGATTTTAATTCTTCTTCCTGTCACAACCCAACTATCTCCAGCACCATTGTGAAAACAGGAACATTTTTATCAAGTTTCCAGTGTTCCCCAGGAATTACTTCACAGTGTACACACAACCTGGCCACAAAACATAATGCCATTGTAAAATCACAGAAATGGAACAGGGATCCTGAACTCATTTTCTAGCAAAAATGAATTCTTGCTAGAAAAAGGGATCCTGAACTCAGAATTCTCTTCTTTTTTAAGAAACC